CCCCCCCCACACACACAAGGTATGGAAATTGTATACTTCAAATAAGTGCATTAATGTGATATTTACATATGCAAGAAAATAGTGGCCTAGTGTGAATTTTCTTTCTAATTGGAAACGTGCACGCCATCTTGATAGATGATATCCTGAAGCCTTTAAAACGGTTTGAACACTGCGTTATTTCTTATAATTTATCCCTTTGAGAAATGATGCATTCTCATCTTTGATTAAAGACGTTCAATAGACCAACGCTGCTCTCAAGCGTGTAATATGGTTGTGACCATTACCAAGGTGATAACAGAAAATGACATTGCCACATCATCATTTTCTCAGCTTGTGGTATTTTTCCCATCTATCTCTTGACCTTTCTGCACGTTAATGCTGCTGCTGGGTTGACACTGTCCTACTGTAGAATCAGAAGCCGTCCCTGTAAACTCCCTGTATCTCTTACTAGATCCATTCAGTGTTATTTCAAGCCATTGTCTGAGGCATTAGGTGCTTTTTTAATGTGAAGGATTGTGATTTCACAAATATTCCAGAAAAGAATAATGGAAAGAGTGAACCATAGCAGACAGTGCTTCTCTTTCTTTACTTTTCTTGTTCTTTTTTTTTTCTATGAACACAATAGGCCAATAGATCATTGCACACAGAAAATGTTCAGGGGAGAGAATGAAGCACATGAACACTTTTCACAGAGTTTGAAACTGAAATTTTACCATTTTACTTCTGCCATCTGCAAATCTTAATGAGCATAGCAGGCATGGTTCCTGGGAAGGAAGAGTGGGCCATTCAAGATTAGCACCTTTTCACTGACTTAATTTGTGCACTTTACATCCATACTGCAATTGGCAGGCTTTTCCAAATAGGTGCTGCCAGACTACAAAAAAAGGAATAAATGAGGAAGGGACTGGCTCAGTAAATAACTGAATTCAGCATTGAACGAATGCAACGTTACTTATGACACACAATAGAGCATTCAATCAGCTCTCTTCTACAAGCAATTGATATTCTCAATAGCCTGTGCATAATGTTGTCGAGAGAGTTAGAAGGATGTTAACATTTCATTACTCTTGCCATTGATTTTTCTCTTCTTTCTTCACAACAAAAATCAAAATGTGACCTCTCTTCCACTGAGTTAGTTCCACAGCACTTGCCATTATTGACCTCCTAATGAAAATTAATGATGGCTCCTTTGATTCAGTCTCTCAAGTAGGCACACCAAAGACATTGAAGAAACAGGTACATTTATTTCTTATATTGAAATGAAAGGACACACTGTCAAATATCAAAATGTACATTAATGCAACATTAAATCAGAAAATTTAAGCACACAGAAATCAAGAGATTTAGACTGCATCACCAGGAGCTGATGCTGCAAAGCTTTAAACTTGGTAACAATTTCAGACCTGGAAAGCCAAGGAGTTTTATAAGTAAACCTACACCTACACTGGGAACATTTCAGCTCTGGGCCCTAAATTTATAGCACAAATTTGGCAAGACTGAAATGTTTTTACCATGCAGCATAGACAATTGTGCATTAATTTAATTATTTTCATACTTTTCTTTTTTGAAGATAGAAAAGAATTTGAATTCTCAGTGACGTTTTTCTTTTGTGATCATAAGCTGTCACCACACAGCGTAATGGATATCCTTCGTTATAGACCCTTACACAAATATATATGCACAAACTGACTTCTGTCTAAGGATATCAACCCCTTTTTCCTTGTATCTGTGTAAATAAGGATTAACTCTATGAGGTAAAGCGGCAAAGGTGGAACTATATGGAGTCATATCTGGAGAATGGGTGAAAGCTCACCATTTTATCTAAACAATTTGCTATTCCTGGGGAATTATCTAGGAAATGTGCAGGAATAATACATAGTCTAACTTACTTTCTTCTCCTCTTTCTTTAGACAACAAAGATTACGATGCATATCTATCCTATACCAAAGTGGATCCTGACCAATGGAATCAAGAAACTGGAGAAGAAGAAAGATTTGCTCTTGAGATCCTACCGGATATGCTTGAAAAGCATTATGGATACAAGTTGTTCATACCAGATAGAGATTTGATTCCCACAGGAAGTAAGTCTCATCCTTATGCCTGTGTGTTTCTTAAATGGTAAATATAGTGATTGCGTATGTGGATTTAGTGTCCTTTCTATGCATACTCCCTCAGACGGTCATCTATGGGTTTCCTCCATTGTCTTAAGGAAGAGAGAGTGCAAGCCACCAGACACGCTTAAGGTATATTTCCCAGCTAAAAGAATCTTTTTTAGCCCTTGTTTTCTGTTCCTGGGGGTGTGTCTGGAAATATATCCCTGATTCTAAGTCAGAAAAAAAGATACGAAAGATTGCTATATTTTTTTTTTTCCAGACATTCAGGCAGGAAGGACTAAGGCAAGAGCCGAGTAATAATACCTGCAGCAGAGCAAAGGAGTGAATTCTGTTAGTGTCTATAGCAGATAAATTTGTAGTGGAGGTACTAGATCATTCTCAGAACTTGAAAATGAGAACTGATTCCAGCTGGTGAAAGTGTATATTCTTTTTCATCTTTCTTTCACATAGTCCAACCTACCTTCAGTTATTTTTTTGTAAATTTGTTATAGTAGCCTTCGTAATTATCAGTCTAACCATTTAGCCAGCTACTAAGTTCTGTATATTTTACTAAAGATAAGAAAGGATGTATAATATAGGTAAAGTATAACACTAAACATAGTGCCATGGATATTTTTAAATCTAAAGCAGCCTAAATATTAATTTGCAGGAGGCAATATTCTGTTTTTGTGACTGTGTGGCAGAGGGAATAAAAGTAAAAGAAGAATGTAACCCTACAGCACACATTAAAGTAGCTTTTGAGTTACGAACTGAAGCACATAGTTGCTGTTCGGTTACCTAGCTGGGTGCCTTCACCTTTTTGAAGGGAAAATAATTATGGACATACTTGTTCTCACAAAGATATACGTACTGGTACCAAACCACACCTCATTCACAAACACTCATGAACTGCAACACATGGGAGGATTTGGAATAAATGTTTGCAACTGATGTTCTTGCAGCAGGCAGTGAACTCTTCTGGAGCCAGGGAATTTACCTCTCTTGTTTTCCCCCAGCCTATGGGAGCGGAATATTTTCTTGGATTGATTTTTGAGCATTTGTCTTATTTTGTAGCCTACATTGAAGACGTGGCAAGATGTGTAGACCAAAGCAAACGACTGATCATCGTCATGACTCCAAATTATGTGGTAAGAAGAGGCTGGAGCATCTTTGAACTGGAAACGAGGCTTCGGAACATGTTAGTCACAGGCGAAATTAAAGTGATACTGATTGAATGCAGTGAACTACGGGGAATTATGAACTACCAGGAGGTCGAGGCCCTGAAACATACCATCAAGCTTCTCACTGTCATTAAATGGCATGGGCCAAAATGCAACAAGTTGAATTCCAAATTCTGGAAACGTTTACAGTACGAAATGCCTTTTAAGAGGATAGAACCCATCACACACGAGCAGGTTTTAGATGTCAGTGAGCAGGGGCCCTTTGGGGAACTTCAGACAGTCTCCGCAATTTCCATGGCTGCTGCCACCTCCACTGCTCTTGCCACTGCCCATCCAGATCTACGCTCCACCTTTCATAACACATATCATTCACAGATGCGCCAGAAACACTATTATCGAAGCTATGAATATGACGTACCTCCTGCCGGCACCCTGCCTCTTACCTCAATAGGTAACCAGCATACCTACTGCAACATCCCTATGACACTTATAAATGGGCAGCGGCCACAGACAAAAACTAACAGGGAGCAGAACCCGGATGAGGCTCACACAAACAGTGCGATACTGCCCCTCTTGCCACGGGAGACCAGTATATCCAGTGTCATCTGGTGACAGAAATGCAAGGGGACGTCAACCCCCTTGAGTAGGAGCAGAGTCTGCAGTCCGGTGCCTGGAACTACATCCTCGACTGCTGCTGTTAAACATGCATTACAATCGATAACATACGAGGAAAAACAGGGTCTTGTATATATGTTTTTTGCAATTTCTTTGTAGCATCAGTCTTCCTGTTTTACCCATGTCTCTTCCCATTCACATTTTCAACTTTGTTTTATATGTCATTGGAATTTGTATATTTACATTTTTTTAAATGGAGAGACTGCTGTATAGATAGGAAACTTTTTTGCTTCATTAGCATAGTTTCAGACTTTCGTTTTGTTTTGTTTTTAACCTCTCCTGGGAATGCTTGGACAAAGCTATGTTGATACCAGACGCAACATCCATTTTGTTGGCCTGCCTAGCCTGATACACGAAGGCCATGCCTGCTGCAATTCACCTGTTTTGAAGAATATTTGTTCTTAGAAGGACCCCGTCCCTCAGTGAGAGCTCCAGTTTCATTTCTCCTCCCATAATGTGCTCCACTCCTTCCCTGCCCTTGCAACGGCCCCATTTGGGTAACACTGCAGTCTGATCGTCTAACATTTAACCTGGTAGCTACTCGTCAAACACCAGAATATACCCAGTCTGTATCAGTTTCTTCACAGTAGTCACTACAGAGTGTGTAGAAACTAGAGATGGTTTGGTTTTTTGTTTCTCGGGGGCGGGGGCATTGCTTTGTTTTAAGAATGGGTTGACTGTATCCCTTTTATAAATACAAAAGCGAACCATAATTTTAACTCTTCCTGGAAAAGTATTAATGTGGTTGCAGATTTTATTTTTAGGCATTTGACATTTTCTCTCTCTCCCTCCAAATTTCTGCAAATAAGATTATTATCAATTGTCAGGCAAATAAGGTGTTAGGCACTGAAGTACACTGAGTCCTGCTGATATTTACAGTGATGACTTCCAAACCAAAGCGGAATGAAAGGACAATATCATAGATGGCTTGTCACTTTGTATTATAGAAAGTGTTATTTTCTAAACAAGCAAGGGCAAAACATTATTAGAGTCCCCCTGTATTTTAATGTTTCACAAACTGTATTTTCTTTAAAATGATATATTGAGGATTAAGAAATCTTCTTTCATTTGATTTCAGCTTATAATGACAAGTAAAACTGTATTAATTTCAATATGATTTCAGTAAGAACTCAGGCAGAAAAAACCACAACATGAATACCAATAAATATCATTGTTTTAAGAATAAACATTATTTATACAAAATTAATATTTAAATCAGACCTGGAAGTATTGAAAACAATTTATTCACTTTAATGAAAAAAGAAATTAGTTTTATTTTTAATGTATGATTCCATCTTTGAGGAGTTGCAAATTACGTGTGTACCCAGGCTGCTAGGGAATTGAAAAAAAAACACTACATTTACAACTGCATTTCTTTAAGACAAATGAAATAAGCCTCTTACCCATACTTATCTTTTAAATAATGGAAAAGTCCTTTCTGGTTTTAGAAAGAGTAAAGAGAAGAAACTGTATATTTTATAACTCTAAAATGTATTCAGGCCAAATTTTCTGCTAGTCTCTGAGAGCTGGGGCAGTTCCTGGTTGCAGCACACTGATGTATCGTCGTGGGTTTCATTTACTCTGGCAGAAATGTTACTGTAATACTGGAAAAGCAGATCTTACAGTCTATTTCAGTAATTAATTGACTTTAGCTATTTTTATGGTAGCTGACTTGTATTGGCCAATATAATGGATGCGTGGGGTTTGTTCATGAGAAAAGTACAGGTCACAATGAGAAAAGTACAGCTTATTATATTTTGGTCCTATTAATGAGAAGTGATGGGTAGAGAGCGGGGAAACTGCAGTTTGGGGATGTTTGTGGGAGCAATCCAGAACTGACAGTGTGGGAGGAAATGGCTATGATCCTGTTGTGAAAGTCAAGAAATCTCAGTATCTGCATAACAAGCTAATGGAGCTTGGGGATGTGCACTGATTTTTATTTGCTTAAAAATGTTTATTTTTCTGACAATTCGCTGGAGTCCTTTTCTACAGTCTGTTCATTACAGTGTCTCCTTCTGGACATGTGCCAAATGTCCACAAGATGGAAATGAAGCTGCCAGGCCAGATAAAATTTTAAGACAGCTTTGCACATTTGGTTATTTTCATACTCTAAGAAAGCTATTATTTACTTGCTATTATAGACAGCTGTCAGGCACTGATGGCATTTTCCTTCATTCAACTGGATGCCAAATACCCCGGTTCCCTCTAAAAGCAATGCATTATTCTCCCCCTTTTCCCTCCCCCTTACATGCCCTGGGGTAAAGACTGGGATGTGGAATAAATGTAGAATGCAACAATCCGACCGCAGTCACACTCAAACCATTGGTAGGTGTTTCTTTAGCCACATCGGGAGTACTTTTCTGTTGCTCTATTTTTAGTGTAGGTTTAAGCACTTTGAATAGCATGATTCAGGGATTGATGGGTACTATTTGATATTCACATTACTTAAAAAAAGTTTTTCTTATAATGTTTTGTCATAATATTAAACAAAAGAAAAATAAAAAACAAAAAAAACACAAAAAAAACCAAAATCTGAAATAAATGGAGAAGCTGTCTATGGCTTTAGAAACATTCCTCCTTAGTATTCCTCCTCTATGAACAACTCTGTGTGGGAAGCAGTGAAGGAAACTGTTGTGTGTTCACGTGCTCTATGTTTGACAAAAGTTCTGTTGGAACGCAAAATAAAATGAAAAAAAAAAAACAAACTGTCATTGCCCTAGTGCTTAGGCTCCATCCTTTTCTGGTGAAGGTGTTCTAGTTTTTGACAATGCAGACTGAAGCGTGCATGCAATAGCCACATGTAAGGTTTAGCCATAAACAAATAGCACTTTATTTTTAAGACTGTACAGTGTAATGATTGGAAAGACTTACTCTGCCAGGTCAATAACTTCGGGTCTCTATGAGGATTCTATGCACATGAATTATCCAAGTGTGGTGCTTTGTCTTTATAAGGCTCTCTCTTATCAGGGTAATCCTTGATATAAAACTAAAGGACTCTGTTGCACAACCTATGGAAATTCAGTATACAGGTCCTCCAGACAGCATGTACAGCTGGACAGAAATGCGGGACCGTACAGTGTGCAACTAATTAGTCTGAAGGCAGATTGCATTGCTGGGTCTGATTCTGTTCTCAGTTGCAACAGCATAAATTGAGAGTAAATCTAATAAAGCTGAACAAATGTAAGATTGATTTGTGTGAGAGAAGAAAATTAGAAAAGCAAACAGAAAAGGAACTCACAGTGGCAGCCTATGACAGGCTGAAATCTTGACCACAATGAAAGAAGTAGGAAAATGTCTGTTGAATTTTAGTAGGGACCCAGTCCTCACCTGGTGGCCAATGTCAAACGCTTCAGTATCATTTTTTTCAACATGATCCGGTTTCAAGCTAAACACAGTTAGCCTTAGATGAAAACTTATATTTTTCTATTAGTGCACAGCTTGTGTGTATGTTACAGACTGAGCGAAATCAGCTTCAAGATAATTAGAAAGCTTGTTATACCCGTCTGATTAAAATTCACAAAGTTTTACTTGAATATGGTGCATTAATGACACATTTAAATTATCAATAGAGCAATGAGATTTGGGAAAAAACTGTCCTGGTAAACAGGCTTCCTTTATTCTTTCTGAAAGAAAAGAAGAGAAAAGAAAAAAGAAAAGAGAAGAGAAGAGAAGAGAAGAGAGAGGAGAGGAGAGGAGAGGAGAGGAGAGGAGAGGAGAGGAGAGGAGAGGAGAGGAGAGGAGAGGAGAGGAGAGGAGAGGAGAGGAGAGGAGAGGAGAGGAGAGGAGAGGAGAGGAGAGGAGAGGAGAAAAGAAAAACAAAATGTCAAACTAACAAGCCTAAGGAGAGTTGAATTAAAATCCAAAGCAGGGTAAAAATCCTAGCAGTAAAGTAAAGACAAAAATGGGATAAAGGCCTATGGAGAAGGTCAAAATATTCACCTATTTCTTGACTGTATTGTGTCTTTTTTTACCGTGCAATGCTCTGCACTCTGGCTGACCTATGTAAAGCAACTGGCATTTCTGGGGATCCTCCAGATAGATCAGCAACACAAATATAGCCCTACATATCTAATCACTTCTGAGCGATTTTCTGTTTGCTGGTAGTCTAGCACAGAGTTGTTGGTGCATCCTCTATTGTTGTGATACAGAGGGTGGCAGAAATTTGTCAACACTAAAAAATCTCCATAACAGGTTTAGTTTATTATCCAGAGTAACTATATTTCCTTTACAACCACCTCTAATCTGATATGCTGCTATTAGTAGCCTTTTTTTTTTCTTCATTTCTCAGCTGAGCAGGAAATTAATTTGGCTGGAATCAGAAAAATATAAGCAAATTTGAAGCAATACTCTCCTCCTATAATGATTGCAGCACGTTCCTTAGCATTTTTTTCAATTAGTCACAACTCTTCACCTCACAAATAGCCCACTGTGTAGAGGTTGGGGAATGGACATTGTAAGTTGTATGTGTGATGCATGAAGAGGTTTGTACACTTAATTTAAGTTTCGATAACAAGTTGTCACTTGTGATGTTATTTTGCTGGGCCATTTCCCATCAACTCAGCCTATAAGCTCAAGGAAGATGTGTTGGCAGCATTACACTTCTCCAGCTGACCTTTGCTTGATGTTCCAGAAATACAGAGCCCTGGGGAATAAAACTAATAGAAATATTTCTGCTATTAAGATTGTTCCTATCCTTTGTGTTTGTTTAAATTCTGTTTGAGGCAACATTTGATCTTTGCTCTGTGCTAATAAACTCTGTGGGTGGGAGGTCAAGAGTCCGCAGAACTGTGTAATAGTCAGAGCAGAAAATACAAAGACAGGCCTGAAACTTATTTAAATAACGTATAAATTCGGCAGTTGCTCAATTTACTAAAAATGCACATGGAGGTTGGGAATTGTTCAAGGAAGTATTACAACCAGCCTCATTCCCAAAGTTTATCAGCATGCTTACATTAAATAGCCAATATCCTAGATAAGACAATTTCTGAAATATAGCTGATTAAAATATTTATATTTTGAGGGATTAAGAGTAGCATGATTTTCTAGCATCTACATGTTATATGAAATAGATAATCTTTATCTAGTCTTGAGTTTACACATCACTCTGCTGGATGACTAGACTTAGAAAAACGATTTGGAGTAAAATCTGAGAGTTAAGAAGCTGATGGAGTTTTTGGGCGGTTTTTTTGGTTAAGAAAACTCTCTCTTTGGTCAAGGTATGATAGAAGGAACACACAAATTGCTCCAAAAATAAAATGGATGTGCTTTTTAACCTTCTCTTTCTCTTTTTATCGAATATTATCTTTCGCTCTGCCTCTCCAAACTATACAAAATCACCAGCTGTTCTCCAGGAAAAATTAACAGCTATCAAGCCCACACTCTCAAATGCACTTAGTGGCAGAGAAGGAAGCTCAAGCTCAAGCGAGGGCTTTGGAGTGGAGTCTGCCTGTACCCACGCAGGGAGAGGCACCGCTTGCTTCGCTGCCCCTGTGCAGGTGAGAGAAGCTATAGGCACAACATATCTCCAAGCTTCTCCCCACTATAGGCAACAAACCTTGCAAGAAGGTGGGAAGGCCTTACTATTACTGACAGTAAATCCGAGAGCCATTGGCAGGGCTGAGCGCAGGTCCTTTGCCACAAAGCAGCAAGAGGCAAGGGAGCACGGAGCACGCAGCAGCATTCCTGATTTGCTCAGTGTGCAAAGCCAAAGCCAACACTGAGCCTAGAAAGAGGTTAGCTTACTTGCTTAGAGTGCAATCCTAAATAAATGAAGATTGCCATTCTCAGCCAGCTCTGCTAGCCCTGCACCTGAGCTCACCATCGGCTGCTCTCGTTCTGCTTCTCTCTGCATTTGCCTCGCAGGCTGCATGACACACAAGAGAGCACACTAAGCTTGCTGTAAGCCTGCGAAAACTCTTTACGCAAGCGTTTAGGGTGATTAGGTGTCTGCTCTCCTGAGAAGAGACTTATAGGAGCAAAGCTTTGATTTGTAAATAATCTTCATTTTTATTCTCGGTTCACACACCATTTTTTACGTCCTCTTATAGTGCTCCTGTGAAGCTGCATTCTGATACTGGCCTGAACTTCCTGCAAAGTGAAAAGAAAGTCTAAAATAGGTCAGCCATGGACTCCATATATCTTCACCCATGCATCTGCTGTTAAGCTACAGGGTCTGATCACACACTCAAAAAACAAAAATAAGCAAAGCAAAGCAAAGCAGCAGTGCAACTACTAAGTCCTATTTCAACCTGTTTCTTTAAGGGTCTATGTTTTCAGAGCAGGCTGTTTTCAGCTGCAGTTTTGAAGGAAGTCAGCTGAGAGACTGTTTTAAATTTTCTTGTCATTGTTTGCATGATAGGTAAATCACAGAGAGATTTCATTTGATTTTTACAAAGTCCCATTCTTCACTGCAAGTTTAATAGAAATATGGCAATGAATTTACAGATTTAGAAGGAATTGTTTGCCAGAGTTAATATTCTCTGGTGAATAGCTCACTGCACCTCTAATTATGTTCTTAGGGACACTTCAGTAGACAATTAATCAATTAGCATTATACATGTAACTTCAGTGTCGCATTAGAATGTTGTACATTTGTCTTCTTAAAACCCAGGAAAATTCAAATGGGACAATTATGTAAATACAAAGCAAAGAGGAGAACTGCCACAGCCACACAACTCTCTCTCACGTTCTGTCTTAGCAAAATAGCTCAGTGGCATCAGGCTCCTTCTCTCAGATCACTAACCTACGTCTACCTCAGCAAAACAAACTTATCTTTGCAAAATATACAGACATCTGGGGAAATATTTTTGAAATAAGCACTCTTGAATCTTAGTAACATCCTGAAAAGCACTTCTGTACTTTTTTATGTCTACACATAAATATCTTAACATGCAACCATTTAATCACAGAGCAGTAAAACTAAGCAAAATAAGCAACCCTCTCTTAAAAAAATCAAAGAAGACCCAGAAACCTGGTTTGTTCACAGGACCATGTTCTCCACGTGTTGCAAGATGAAGACAAACCTGTAACTAGGCCATTGCTGGTGACTGTGTGACACAGTTACCTGTGTGCAGGTGACAGAGGGTGGGGGAAGTATAGTGAAGACATTTCCTGGTCATGTAATGGCCAGGTGGATTGTACACACCTCTCCTGGTTATATTGCCATGGGGGATTACAGACATCCTTTGCCTGTAGGGTATTAGATACCCAGAATTTCCCAGGTACTTCCTTCATCTCCCGGGTGCTATCTGAAGCCATTTTTATGGTCTTGTTAGAAGGAGGAGATATTTTTTCAAGGTGACAGGAGCTATATGAATGACACAAATATCTTCCAGAGTTGCTGTCGCTGTGGATAACAATTAGTGTCAGTAAGGTTCATCTCCTATTTTCTCCTCTTACCTTCTCACTCATCTCATCTCCTAAGCAAAAGAGGTCATGAATAGCTCTCAATGCAACAAATTGATAGGTAAATAGAGTTCCCATGCATTTTTCTTTTCTTTTTTTTTTTTTTACTGTAAGGTATTTGCTGAGAAAATCAGCAGCCGAGACTGTATTTGGATGGAATTACATCTGCCAAATTGTTCTTTATGAAACATTGATGAAAAGTTACCAGTTCAGTAATTTTTGGCCTCTTATCTGTTATGCTTTTTCTGAGATGTTGATAAACTGCAATCTAGAGTTTAAAGGGTTGAGGACAGACTGAACTGCATATTCGTATTATTTTCAGGGTACTTTCATTCCTTGTAGTTCCTCATAATTTTTTTCTTCATAACGGAAGAAGGCAGTAGGACTGAGGTACCATTGTGCTGTGTTGGTTTAGCACTGGTATAATCACATTAGGAAGAATGAAGTTGCGCTCTGAAGAACTGGAATAAGATAGATATGAACTGGGCCAAGAGTCCCCTATTGCACCGCTGCCAGATTTTCTCTGCTCCCACTTCAACCAAGAGGTGTCAAAAGGGAAAATGATGCTTTCAGGTGCAAAAGGACATGGAGTCTCAGAAACATTGGGTGAGCCTGTTGCCACATACCCACTGAAAGGTCAGGTTTCTGTGAGATGTCTCATTTTAGCCTTCTGATTGCTACCTGTTGACTTGCTAAGGTTCTCCAAAGACTGGAAAAATAAAGTAAAACCAGCTATTTCAAAGCCAAGGTTAATCAGTATAAATATATAATGCCATTGATTGTTTCAATAGCTCACTTGGGCACACAAATCTGCCCATTTTTCTGTTCCTCCTCCTGTCCTTCTGCCCCAGATAATCACTGGTTATAACTTATTCTGAGTGTCTTGTAAAGATTTGATCTAGTTTTTTTAATATTATATTATTCAGCAAAGACAGAAATAAATTTAATATAACATCTTGGTTTCATCATGGAGGTTTGTAGACTCATTAATCATTTTTATTTTATCCCTGTCTAATAACTCATAATTTTAAGACAGGGAGCTGCCAAGCACTGGTGCACAGTGCTGAGGCAGTGGTGCAACAGCCAAAACAGTTAGTCAGGTAGGGACACTAAAAGACAAAATATTCATCTCAGATCTTACCATGAAGTATAATTAATTTCTTCTCCCAGCATTACATCTAAAATCCACTCATGCTACGCAGAGCAATTTTAAGTCAGAAATGAATTTCACACATAAAGCACATAA